GGCGGTCTTTTAGCAGCAGATAGCATTCTCGAGTTCTACAAAACAAGACCCGATACTAGTGCTCCGCTTTGGCCCAAGATCGTAGGCTGCATTTCCTTCGATACACCGGTATGTTCCACGTAATTTCATTGCCTGAAACAAGATTCTTATCCGAAATGTTAGTACTATGGTCTTCATCCGGTATGTTCTAGTATTCTTCTGCTAGAAACCAGATTTTATGAACAAATCACAGTACGTGTTCAAGAACAGTGCATCTAAAGCTGCCGAGTACGCCAATGCAGCCAAATCTGTGGGCTCTGCTATTTGGAGTTCTTTTAGTGCTTCCAGCTCAGCCAGCGGAACCAGTACACCCGTTGCTGCAATAACTGCCCCTCCTGTCTCGGAAAGTGGATGGAGCAAGTGGGCACCAGCCCTCTACACAGTCGGGGGAGCTGTTGTCGCAGGAGCAGCTGCTGGAGGAGCTTATTGGCGTCGAGAAGATCTAGGTGTGGGATATAGCTGGGCAACGGATCACATGAAATATGTCCGGAACCTGTGGGACGAAGAGGCCCTCAAGAGAAGAGTCAATGAACTAATCGAGATTGAACAAACTGAAGGTTTGCTCTTTCGAACGTGAGTCGTCCTAATCATCTACGCTTTTGTGAACACTTGCTGAACCAAGTTTAGGTTCTATACTCTACTTCCTGCCATTCCGTTGGTGCACAATCTCGATCGAACGTTCATGATCTTGCCCAACACGGACAAGCGTGCAATGGCACATTTTGTGCCTGCAGTCAATAACACTGCAGCGGACGAATTGCAAGCCCATACGGGGATGTTCGCGGCACATTCGAACGACGGTTACTACAAGTTGGGTCTGGAGACTGCTGGTTTTGTCCGAGAGGCCATTATGTTGGGACGTGGTGTGCTTGGGCCGGAGGCAAATGTTATTCCAGAGCAGGAGAAAGCGGAGACGGAGAGACCAGACGAGACGGAGACAAATGTTAATCCAGAGCAAGAGAAAGCGGAGACGGAGACGGAGAGACCAGACGAGACGGAGCAACTTTCGCCGGCCCAAGCTTAGAGGCGCTAGATACTGTAGTACTTATAAACGATTTGGGATATTATCATTCTGTAGTATTATATATGTGTACCTATACGATATGACTGCCTATTTTTCTACAAGCATCCCTAATCTTTTGATCTAATCATGCTTCAGCACGAGACGCATTGCGTACGCGTCTTCACCATCGGCATCTGCAACGGGGAATCAATACGAACCCTAGCATCGACAGCGCTATATCCGAAAACTCACAATACTTTTTCTCAATATCTTCGACTTCAAATCCAAGGGTGTCCCGGTATAAACTGAGTGCAGCGCGGTTGGACTTTCGTACGTGCAGCGAGACGCGAGATGCGCGATAGATTGTCGACATTGATTCTTCTACAACCAATTCAGTCAAAGACAGGGCAAAATGAACAATGATCTTCGTACTAACGGGATTGCAGCATGAGCTTTTTCGCTATACCTAATCGTCTATAAGATCGAAGAACGGATATCGATGTTACATGGCCGTGTGGGGGTTCGCTTTCAGGTGGTTTCCTCCTCCCTGTAAAATTAAAGGACGAATCAAGTCGGATGGGTTCTAGTACTTGATCAGAATGGAAAAAGACTCGCACATTTTCGCCAAAATGTATCCAACAATCTGACCTTTATCGTTTTCTGCTACATATGAGATTGAAGGCCAGGTAGCGCAGTGGTAGACATCTAGAAGGTGAACCGCTAAGTACAACTCGCAAAAATGAAAAGCTGATAGATATACTTCCAGTACTTGTTTGTGTAGTTTTCTGGAAGGTTCCTTCCCGGAAAATGAGCGCAAGTGGGGGGCGAAATCGACAGAAGGATCACCTTAAATTGCAGGCTTGCATATGAGGAATATCTTCCACCTAAAAGATTCAAATCAGAGTTGCTAGTCGAATGAGCGAGGAAATGGATTTACTCTAGCTCGTCGAATGTTCATGATAGATAGAAATCTAGCTGGCCTGAACCCAGAGAGTGACAGTAGAAAGAAGGAAACAACGCGTTGGGCGCTTAATCAGGCGCGATCATAGGCGCTTTTTCTTTTCTTCACCATACCATTCACTTCCCTCGTTTGGTGCATTCTCTGGTACTGAGCCTTGTAGCTCAGAATTAGATCGAAAGGACGCGATTAATTCCTCCTCACTCAACATTTCTCATTTGAATTTCTGCTTGTCGCTCTTTTCGCATTGAATGCCACCGGGCCCAGGATACAACTGGATCTGCGTGCTCTCTGGTGCTGCTGAAGTTATTGGCCATGTCGCCAGATACCGCGCCTCTCAGGTGACGCGTCTTCCGAGGGACGGACATTCAGTAAAAAGAGCTGCGTCTGCTAGCTTATTGGAGAATGATTGGAAGGGAAAGATCGGAGTTGAAAGATTGGAACTGAAGGAGAAGGACGCAGCAAAACAATTTATGGACGTAGCTAGACATCCGCCAACGGAATTCGCAGCAGAGATTACCCCAGAACCGAAATTGCAGTCGTGCAAGAATCTCAACATGGACCAGGCGAAGGAGACAGTTATGCCGTCTCCTCAAATCGCGTCAATTGTCAGCCCGAATGCTGTACTGGATCCATCCTTTGAACTATCACGTACAGAATTGTCACCAGAAGTTGCTTTACAGCCGTCCAACGCAGCGGACACCCAAACATTAGCGGAACCAGCGGACCATAGTTTCATGATTCCAGAAGCTGCTGTCATTTCACCAGTTCACAAAAACACTCTCCAATCTTCCAAAGTACCTTCCTCAAAGCTAGGAAGGCTGTTTCATTACGGAGGTAAGCTCTACTTTACAATCTGGATTTCATGATATTTGACGAATTCATACAGGTTTAGCAGCATCCTTAGGATACGGCGCTGCCTCAGAGTTCCTACGCCCCTCCAATGCTGATGATTCGAATCGTTCAGTCATGCTGACTGACGCCAACATCAGTCGTCTCGTTTCTAAACTATCGCAAATGAGGGGTGCTGCACTCAAATTGGGCCAATTCCTTAGTATACAAGGTTTGTAGATGTATGTTGAACATCCCATCTTTCTACTTCTCATTTTGCCACGTCTCATAGACACACATCTTCTTCCTAAGGAGATAGATGCCGTCTTTCGACGTGTACAAGACTCGGCACATTATATGCCTGACTGGCAGATGGAGGTGCGTATTTGTTCATCGAAAGCGACTAACGCCACTGACGTTGGGATATATGACAGCAAGTTCTCACTTCCTCGCTTGGTCCCTCTTGGTCTACCAAGTACTTCGCGTCCTTTGATCGGATCCCTTTCGCAGCCGCGTCTATTGGGCAAGTTCATGAAGGTGTATTGAAAGCAGAGTGGAGTCCAACTGGTTTGTATCTAATTCTTCTTTGCCGCTCGGAAAACTGACTTTCGTTATTACATTTCTTAGGTCAACAGGAAAAAGTGGCAGTTAAAGTTCAGTTTCCCAACATCCGCGATTCCATCTCGGCCGACCTCTCCTATATCACTTGGTTGTTGCGCGTAACGTTGGGAGGGAGGATCCTACCTAAAGGGCTCTTCTTGGACAGAACTATGGAGGTGATTGCATTTTTCTATTTCCACTAATGCTTGACAATTAAATTCATTCATCTCAGGTAATGAAGGCAGAATTAGCGGATGAATGCAACTATGTCCGCGAGGCGCATTATCTACAACAATTTCGTTCGCCGGATTTCCTAGGTATGGTTTTGCTTGCGCTTGAGGCTTCGCCTAACAGCCAAACACCATGATTAGGAAATGACTCTCGTTTCCACGTACCTTGGGCCTCCTCCATCTCAAGTGATAGGGTCCTTGTTATGGAATTTGTTGAAGGAGGTGTTAGTCTTGGGTCCGAGTTGGTCACGACGCTACCACAGGAACAAAAGGACAAGGTTTGTTCGTTCTTTATCATATGGCACTCATAGCTGAACTGGCTTTTGAGATTGCGACGACAATCCTTCACCTCTGCCTCCTGGAGTTGTTCCGTTTCGGAACAATGCAAACTGACCCCAATTACTCCAACTTTCTCTATATCCCAGGTATGCCCTCTTCTCGAATAGATCTGGCTCTAGCGCTCACACATACCTACCCCTGATAGACTCGGGAAAAATAGCGCTCATAGATTTCGGCGCTACACGAGAGTACGGGCCCGAGTTCCTCGACGGCTGGCGGAGGTTACTAGAAGCTGCAGCTTCCGTGGATCTTAATAGCTCCACCGATCCTGACACACTTGGGATTTCTCCAGGGCCCGCTTGGGATGCTTGCGTTGAAGAGAGCATCTCGCTGGGGTACCTGGTAGGACCCTCCGGTGAAGGCGAAGGCTTCGAGTCTCCCGAAATGGTCGCCGCCCATGTGACAAGTCTTGCCTTCCTAGCGCATCCGTTCAACGGAAGAACACCGCAGCCAGTACGCTTTGGCAAGGGCTCTGATTTCGGGAGAAACACTGAGCGGATAAGGAACGAGCTTATACCGGTGATGCTGCGAGAGAGGAAGAAGGGGCCCCCAAGGGAGACTTATAGTTTGAATCGAAAGTTGAGCGGAGCATTCTTGTTGGCTTCGAGGCTGGGATCAACGATACATGCTAGAGATATTTGGGAGGATGTACTAAATATTAAATGTTAACGTCTTTATTAGTGAACAGAGAAGAGGGGATGCTTTGTTGCCAGAGTGGAGTCCCGCACATTTTCTCAGTGCTCTGTTTATTGTCTGTTGCATATAGTTCTGCAGGTCGATGGTTTTTTTGAACTTGTTTGTTTGGGTCAAAATGAATTGAAAGCTACGAAAACCAAAGGCCCAGTCCGAAAAGAATATAGGCCTTAATTCATTTCGCATAGCCCCCCATTCATTTTGCAGCCCAAATAAACAAGTGCAAAAATCTACGGACCTGCAGAACTATATGCAACAGGCAATAAGTTGAATGTGCCAGAAAACATCGGAGTTTGGTTCATGGTTAAGGTCTAACCAGGACTCGAACCTGGGTTACGGGAAGTAACATCACATTACCAATTTCAAAATCCCGTGTGATAACCTCTACACTATTAGACCATATGCAAGGGCCATGTATGATCTTTATATTATCTTTCCGAATTGCGTTTTTTTCTCGGTCTGAAGCATCAATGTTGTCAACTCGCAATAAATTAATTCCTGCACCTCCAAAATTTTAAGCCCCATGATAGGAAAGCCCAGGAAAAACAAGCACAGGACATCCAAACTCAGAACATTGAACAAAGGGTTAGGCGCTAATCATGATACGCTTGGGTCGCGAGCGCTTTCTCTTCAGTTCTCTTCAGTCGACGTGGACACAATTCAACCTATTCTTTAATGCAAGAACAACAAATCTTGGATAACGAACACAAGGGACATATATAAATCTCTTGAGCAGCAACTGCCACCGTTGCCGTTTCCTTGGTATCTACAAAGTTGCGACGCTGAAAGAACAAGAACAATAACGACAGCTCTCCAGTCGCTGTCGGGGCCTCTGAAAACAAGGCTTGACTCGTCTTTTTACCATGCCAAACCATTGTTAATTCTCTCTTGACGACACCTCGCGTCTGGATAACTGTGGCGCACTTCCGGAGTGCTATAAAAGAACATCGTTCTACAGCGAGCCCACAATCAAGTACCTTTAACCATCGGTCACTTTGAGCGCGAAATGTCTATCCACAGACTTCCAGCCGACATTCCGCATGAGCTCTCTACTTATATGGATAGCCAATCGATACGGGCAATGGCGCAGGTGCGTAGGATTCCTTGGGATATTTTACACTACATGTCTTCTCGTTTATTCAGGCTTGGCGCCCGATGCACAAAGCTCTGCATGGTCCCCATGGTTCAACTGGTAAGTATCAGATCGAGCTGGAAAAGTACGGTATGGTCGAAGGCGTAATTCCACATGCGCATCGGAACAAATCAACCAAAGAACTTCGAGATATGCTCGCGAGCTACAACCTGGCGCTTTCGTTTCTGAAATGGAATAGATATGACATTTACAGATTCTCCCAGACCGAAAAACGGACGACTTTCGTCGATGATATTCACCTTCATCACAACTTTGGATCATTTATGGGGCAAAGCGGTGGTTGGATATATCATATCAAGACTAGCGTCGTTGAGATGATTCGACCTCCGTCTTTACGAGCCGCTACTGAAACAATCCGTATCGAGAAGGGATATCCGTTTCAAGTCGTCGGATTTGCTGTTGAGCCTAGTTCGGGACTAACGGCTGTTTTACAAGCGTGAGTGAAGGACTTTTGTATGAATACTGTGACCACTCCTCAATCACCCTACAGGAATGAACAGGGCATCTCCAGAATCCATATCATGCATCCGTCTAGGACAGATTTCAGTCCAAAGGTTCTCTCGTCCTATGTAAGATGGCCAATAGGAACAGTAAAACCCGCTCAGTTTGAAATCGTCGGAAATTTTGTTGCTATAATGGTCCAACAGCTTATGCCAGCACAAAATGGAGTTCAAGTATGGAAGCGATCGAGCTTGGTAGTTTGGAACTGGGCAGAGGGAACTCTTAAATATGTGGTACGCTGTTACAACTTTCCCTAATACTGGCACTGATCAAAAGATAGAAAGAGGATGTCCAGTCATTTCAATTTATATCGGAGGACACTCTCCTCATCTTGCATTTCGGTCGTCCTCGTCGGGCGCCTCAAGGTGAGAATTTGACTCTCAAGGTCTGTCAAGTCCAAGTTACACGCGATGATCCCTACGATATCTCTCTGCCGGACGTGGAAGTGGATATGCTATGGCAAACAATAAAAGCCGTGTCTTTCATTCCTCGAACCACGCCTCCTGCGAAGCCGCACCCTGCTCATGATCCTTACTTCGATGACTGGGTAACGGGTGTCTTTGATGCTCCTTTGCCTTCAAAGGAAGAGAATGGCCCCTTCCATGCAGATCCCGAAAAGTCAGTAATCGGCATCCAAATCGATTTCCACCCGCAGTACCACAGCATGTCCGCTTGCCTCCTGTTCGACCTGAAGGAATTTGTTGCACCTCCCTCTCTACCCCGCGCCATGTGCTGCGTGGATGGTATCTACCCGTTCATAAACGGAAGGAGGGTTTTCTGGTGGAATCCGGCAGCGAAGAACATCTGCCAGAGGGACTTCAATGCGATTTCTTTACGTCTGTATGGAAGGGGTATCCAAAATAGCCGCCATGATAAAGATCCAAACTACCTTTCATCGTCGTTCCCTATGTTTGGGCACTATCCTCCGAACGCGAATGCTCCGTTTGGGCTGAATTCATTCGAGGCTGCTGCCATGCGTCGTGGTGATTGGATGCAGATGCGCCACTTTTATGCGACAGAGGATAGTGTTGTTATCATGCAGGTTTGTGCTCTTTCAAGACAGCATACTCTGCATTGGCTAACAAAGTTTGTACAGAAGTCTTCGCAAGACAAGATAGGAAGCACATATGTTCACGTTTTGACGTTTGACCATTGTAGTCTTTTCGGATGACTCTTACGCTATTTCCTTCCGTCTCTCCTTTCATATCATCACATTCCTTTCAATTTCTCTCGCATCAGACATTGTATACTACTAGCAGTAATGATTTTTTACGTTCTTTAGATTCTTTGGACTTGATACTTTCATATGTACTTTCTAGTCTTTACTCACTATTATTTATCGTGCTTGCATCTTGTATGTATGTAATTTTAGCTGGAATTTTCGAACTCGCATGAATATGGCTCGATTCTACTCCTCCGGCCTCAGCTTCATGTTCGAATCTATGGTCGCTATAGGTTTTTAAGGCGCTGAGGTCAGGGACAAGGTCTGGCTTGCTTAGACTCTGGAAATAACTGCGTATGGAGTTACGCTGTACTGAAGCTATCTAGATATGCAGACCCCACAAAAATATTGCCATCAAAGTCCTCACCAATTGTAAGTATGTGAGCGCAGTCTCCCTCGAGACATTCATGCATTTGCTTTCAGGAAGATGGATCCACTTCTACTAAGGAAGAGTACTAGTCACACCCCAATATGTAACAAGACATCCTAATTATATCGTACGACGAGTTGGAGATATGTAACTGTACTTATCTTGCAGGGAAGACACAGGACGTCGTAATCTAAGCCTCACTATCCTCCGGAAGACGTTTTTACTTCCACTCCTACCTTGCCGCCTATGCGTCCTCCCCTTCCGATCGTTCTCCGAAAGTTCAACAGGTTCCTCTCCTCCCTTCTCCATCCCAGCACCAAACACCTCCACACCCTTCTTTCGCGTTGGTTGTTTACCACCTTTACCCCAGCCCAGAAGCCTCATCTGCGTCTTGGGAGTTACCTGATGGGACCCAAGACATCTCCATACCGCCCTCCTCCGAGATGTTGACTTTGTTACGAGGCGCGCGCTTTCCACCGCCAGCTGCGAAAGAGGAGGAGGAGGAATTGGTTCGACGCTGACCAAAAGTAGCGTCTTTACCTCCCGCATGTCGTGGTCCATCAGCACCAGTCTGCGGACGCATTGGTACCAGCTTGACGCTGGAAGTCCGATTTTGTTGTTTCGATCTGTTATACGCTTCTTGTACGCGTACATTTTTTTGTCCGGGACGTACACGAGGGTCGAATTTGTTGAGCTCTAGAAGAGGGAAAACGTTCAGAATTATCAAGGCATTATAAAAAGACAACTGACCTCCGGCGTCACTGCTATCACTGCTGTTCCCACTCTCGTCTCCGCTATCGTTCTCACCAAGACCATCAGACGACATCTTGTCGCTTTCCTCTTCCTCGTCTTCCACCGCAGTCTTTCCGCGGTTACCGAACCCTTTCTGTTGCGCAAATGAAGATGGATTGAGCAACGCGTACTCCCTAGTGTTCACATCGACTTCGAATTCAGGATCTTCAAAGACCTTGGCGAATCGAGGATCGGTCAAGACATTTGTGGGGACATCCTCCTCCGCCTCTGCATCTACGTCCATTGCATCCTCACCATCACCAGCCTCCGTTCGACTCTTCATAGCCTTGATCTTCTTCCTCTCTTCCCTCTTCCTCTCACGTTCCTCATCTCTCTGGATTTTCTCCGCAAGCAGTTTGTTGACTTTGACACCAGGTATCTGTTTCGTCGACGACCGAATGCGCGTCTCTGCGAGTTTGTCAATCTTTTGTTTTATCATTCGTTCGCGGTGTTCGGCGTATTCGAACGGATTGGCAATAACACGGGCCGTTTCGTATAATTTGAGCGAGACAAAGTAGCCGTGCATGTAGGGTTTGAGAGCGGGAGTGCCGACGAGATGATCCAAGCCCAATCTTAGAAAAGGTTAGTAAAAGTGGATTATATAGAATGAAATTGAAGCTTACTTTTGTAGCTCGTTCCGCTCAACGAACTTGTAGTCCTCATAAACATTGCGAGTCGTCTGGTCCTCCAGCTCTTCCGTGATGTTTTCAAGGAAGCTTGCCCAGCGGGGAGCAGGTCCGAGTTGGGGAATGTAGTATGTGGACATTTGGATCCCTTCGTTGGCCGACAGTAAAAGACCACTACCGGGAACGTGATGGACATCGTTCAGGTCTGAGGCAGGATTTATGGAGGTGAAATTGACTGAAGGCTAGAAGTAGTAAAATGAGAAAAAGCAATAACAAAACCCGCCAGGAAAGAGAACGTACTGAGTTCCGGTCCCATATTTTGATTACTTTCCTATCTGCGCTCAGTACCATGCCGTCTCCAGCCATCCTGCTCCCACCCTCGATCCAAGAGACTTTCTTCACAGGCAGACCATATCCCTGGTCCTTCGTCGCGAATGGTCTCGTAGACCGGATATCGTACAGAAGAGTGTGTCCCGTTGAAGTTCCGACAGCGTACGATAAGCCGTCGGGACGAGAAGCAAGCGCAGTAACACTCAAACCCGCGTCTACGGTGTTGTCAAAACTCGTTGTGACGAGTTTATTGGCCGGTAATCGCAACACTCCAGCACATGTCCGTGACCTTGGGTCCCAGAACTGCACTGTTCCATTCCCATCGATACCGAAAGCGAAAAGTTGATGAGCGGCGTTGATGTCGATTGCATTAACTCCTTGTATGTCGTCTTCATCCTCTAGTAC